TGGGAAATTCGGCCAGGACGCTGGGGTTACACCCCTACTCTTTTCGAGAAACGTCCTGGGATTTTTAATGACCACAGAGAGTCAGGACCTTGATTTTATCCGAAATACGGCGCCTGTTTACAGTATAGTGCCCCAGTCACAATACTGGGGCATTAGGACCCACATGGACTGTAGGGTGAGTGCCCCCTGCCCCCTCCCCCTGCCCCCCAGTTGTGAGTTTTTGTGTTATTGTTTTGTGTCCTGTAACAGAATATTTGCCAGAATAGATTGTATTCCACTATATGCTTTTTGACTGTTTTTTATAATAAAATCTGTAATCAAATTCATGATTCGATATTATTTTAATTCATATACTGTAAATTGACCATATGATATTTTCTTAATTGTGTTTAAGATGATTACTGTTTCCATGCAGAATTTTACTTCTATCTGTGGGCACAAGCAGTAGTTTCAAACTTGTCATTCATAAAGAAATCAACAAATACAGAAAGTGAACTGAGGTCTGTCTACAGCAGTGGTTCTTAATCTTATCAGCTGGGCCGCAACTGTGGCTAAAAGTAAGTCTTGTGGGCCGAATATATTAATCACTACTAGGCCTACCTTATCTTCATGCATAATAGCTATTATAATATTATTCTATAATATATAATATTAATAATAATATATAATATTATAATACCTATTAACCATGTGTACATATATGTATATGTACCTGTATAAGCAAAGTTGCACAGCTGATGAATGACTCCCATCCGAAACGTCCTGTTTCTCAAGCTACCTTGTGTACTGCACCATAACTTTTCCAACCTTTCTCTCTATATTTATCACCATCACTGAATGGTTTGCAATGTTTAGCGAGTAGCCATGAAATTTTGAATGTGGCTAGTATAAACGCCTGGGATGCTTTTAAAGTAGCTCATATGATTTTCTGCTCGGCAATAGCAGTTTTTTCTAGATTACTTATCTTGAGAGACCTGTCACTTGAATCAGGTGGGTATTGCTTGTCTAAAATTCTTGTGAGTAGTATCAAAATGTCTTTTTACATTGTACGCTTTGCAAGCACCAATAATTTTACTACAACCATTTTATTAAAACCAAAACTTTTTTTCTCTTTAACCTCTCTCTCATACAAATAAAAGAAAACACACAAACTTCCACAACATGACAATTTTCTCTTTTTTTTTGCGAACTAAACAGTTCTATACACATATAAAACCGGTGTGGCTCTGTTACTGATTTTGTTTTATAACTTCCTCCGTTATTCCAGTATTTTCCTACCCTCATCGCTGATGCTCTGACTCTTTTTTTCTGTTGCATTGACATCTTCTTCCTCTGGTCCATGTAGTTTTTCACCCCTTACAACAAACTTATCCATCTTTCTTTGTTTTTTCATACATACTAGCAGGCTACTAGGCTAGGCAACCCTGCTGTGAGCGGGCTAATCTTTGCACTCAGACATATGATGGGCTTGAAAGTGAAGGCAATATGAAAGTGTGTCCTAGTGACGCGCAACACTTTAATTAAATTAATGATTCATGAAAATTAATCTGATCACCAGCGAGACTATTCAGAAACGGTTTTACAGGACGTGACTAGAACACACTCTTAGTGGGGCCGTGAGTTCTACCTATTTTTTATTTTTTATTATTTTTTTATCAAAGGAATCGACTGCAAACAAATGTAATTTATTAAGGGGTCGGATGTCGGGGGCCGCACTTTCATGTGGCGGGACGCAGCATGAGAACCATAGTCTACAGTATTCGTTTGAAATATATTGAACATTTGTAAGCAACATTTGTTTTTTTCTCAATAGAAACTAATTAATCATCATTAATTTCAAGACTTTTACCGTAACTTCAATATTTCCTTTCCCATGTCTGACCCACTAAGATTATCTTACTTTTGATTATTTTCGCTAACATCTAATCACCTTCCAATTAAAGGTGAAATCTTAACCTGTCTTAATTCCCTACTCCAAAATGAAATCTCGTCTCCTGTTGTCACCTTGACCCTCAAAGCACTATTTCTTGTGGGCTTCTTTGGATTGTTTTCTCTGGGTAGAATTCACTGGTGCTAGCCAACCCTTCCACCGTCATTTTCATCCCTTATTGGATTTTTCCATTGGTTCTCACAATAAAATCACTTTCTACCTCAAAAGAAGCAGAATAGAATAGGTCAAAGCATTATTTTTTATTACTTCAAGCTTGATTCCACTATTAATCCTTACAAGTCTTTATTTATTTTATTTATTCCTATAATTCATTTTCCTTATCCCAATCAACCATCTTATCCAGTCCCCTGTGCATTGGTGAAAATTGGCAAGTGGGTCTATACATTCACAAAGTGCTAACAAAAGCTTGCTTCATTGATCAACTCTTTTCGTGCCACTCCTTCAGATGCCATTAACTCAGCTGGACAAGTTACACAAAATAAATTTGTCTCTATATCAGACTTATAAGGATATACAGTAAATTACAAAATCTCAGTGTATGGAAATTTCCCTAAAATATAATGATTTTTTATTTAAATATTAGATTAACTCTCTGGTCTTCCTCTTTAATATTATCTGCAGTGACGTAAACATTTTAAATTTAATATGCTATAATTTGCCGTTTCTACTGAGAAATAATTATGATTGTGAGGGAAAATTTAAATAATAGAATATACTGTGTATTATGGTCACCTGGTTCTCGTCAGCTGAAAAAAAATGACACTTGAAGTCAGTGAAAGATATAACACAAGCTATAGTAAAGTGGTTAACCCATTGATGATTGCAGCCAGCAGCCATATAACCCTGCAACTCACAACTGGCAACACATTAAAGGTAAGCAGGTGTGAGCTGGGTCAATACCTGGATGGGAGACCTCCTGGGAAAAACTAAGGTTGCTGCTGGAAGAGGTTTTTTGTGGGGCCAGCAGGGGGCACCCGCCCTGCGGTCTGTGTGGGTCCTAATGCCCCAATATAGTGATTGGGACACTACTGTAAAAAGGTGCATCAGGATGAAACATACAACTGAGGTGCTGACTCTCTGTGGTCATTTAAAATCCCAAGGCGTTTCTCGAAAAGAGTAGGGGTATCCTGGCCACATTTCCCACTGGCCTTTACCAGTCATGGCCTCCTATTAATCTCCATCTATGAATTGGCTTCACCACTCTGTGCTCCTCCCCTCCACACAGATAGCTGGTGTGTGGTGAATGTACTGGTGCACTATGCTGCACGTTGATGATGGTGGTGGGAAATCCCCATCCATTTTCTAACCAATTCTAATTCAGGGTTGATAGGGAACTGGAGTTTATTATGACAAGCAATGGGCACAATGCAGAATATATCTTGAATGGGACATCAAGCAATTGCAGGGCACACACAGACATACACACTCTCACTGTATTTTTTTTTCTTCTTTCAGTTCTGAAAGGACTATTCTTCTCCTGCCAGCAGACAAGTAAGAGAAAAGCTCAGCAGCAGAACAGTTTGCAATGTACAGCTATGGCATTCAGGAATCATCCTACAGCAATAATTAAATAACAAGGAAAAGAGACATACAATATATTTTAGCCACATACTGTTAAGCCACAGTTTTGTATTGTCTTTGATTTCTAGGTGTTTTGATACTCTGTGCTTTCTATATTTTTATGTCAAATGTGTAAAACCAGACACAAATAAAAAACTGGCATCAATTTACTGTAACAATCAGAAAATGTAACAGTATATGGCGAGAGTACTTAGCGACTTTTAGTAACACAGTTTTTACTGCAATAATGACAGCAAGTACTCATAGAAAAGGTTAAAACATTATAACTTTTTAGAAAGTATATAACCTTAATATAGTCATAACGAGCATGTCAGAACTTTTCCAAAATAACCATTGTAAGTGACTAAGTTAAAAACTTTGCTGCATAAAATACTGGAAGTGGAATACTGTTGTGAATTCAGGATACTTTTCGTCTGCATTCTCAAAGAGGGGTTCAGAAATCCTATTGCAGAAAGACATCCGAAACTTTTGCAAAAGTACTTTAAGTGTATATTTTTCTTTGAAAGCAGGGGTTTCCTCCTGGCTATCCTTCCATGAAAATCATTCTTGTTCAATTTTTTTCCATCTGGTGGACTGACATTTATCATAGCAAGAGAACCCTGAATGCAACATTGGGGTTCTTGAAGAATTCTAGGAACATCTTATGCTCAGATCTTGGAGATAGTTTGGTAGGACAGCCATTCCTGGGTAGGTTAGGCACAGTCTTGAATTTTCTCCATTTGTAGATTATCTTTCTTACCATGGAATGATGGACTATGAAACTGGTTTTTACTGGTTTTGTAACCTTTCCCAGACTGACAAGCAACACCAATTCTTTCTCTAAGACTGTCATAGATTTATTTTGATCAGGGGATGATGTGTTACCACAAAACCGAACACTTAAGACCAAATTTCCAAAGTTTCTGATTTTATACACAGGTGGGATCACTTCTTGATGATCAACGCATTATTTGTTCATGTTTTGGCGCTCCTGATTCTATCTACCTACATATTTAAGAAGATAAGATGGTAGAATTTATGGTGCACTTACTTTTCATACAAAGATATTGAATGCAGGCTGATGTTTTTATTATTTTTAAGTAATGACACAATAGACGTTTTGTGCTATTTATCAAATGAGGTTAGTTTTTGTTTAGTAGTAGGACTGGTCTTAATATGTTAAACCATAAATATTATGGGAGTTTCCTTATTTTTTTCACTTTACTGTATGTATGCCACTGGCAACCCATTTATGGTGTGGTACTGCCTTGTGGTCTATGCTTCCAGGATAGACTGTGAGTTTCCTCAAATCTTACCAGGAAAATGTAGCATTCTGTAAGTTAATTGATGGATTATTAATTAATTATAACAAAAGTATGAATTTGTGAAATTACAACAGTTGGTTGTAAAACAACAAGTTGGTTACTAGGCACTCTTCAAGTTTGAACACCAGTCTGTTGCTTCACCCTAACCACTGTCTGTATTCCAGGGTCCAGGCCTCAAGCTGTGGTAACTGCAGACCCTCCATGGACAGAGGTGTTTGTAGGAGAGACAGTCACCCTCAACTGTGAGGTTAGAGGATCTGTTGACTGGAAATATTACTGGGCCCTAGAGAAGCAGGGGAGAATGGTGACACTCAGGAGCTCCAGTGGAACATATGGTTCCCAGTACATCCTAAGAGCTGTGTCAATGTTTGACAGTGGACAATATTGGTGTCAAGCTGAGAGAGGTACTGATCAGAGTGACAGTGGCTTTCTCACGCTGACAGTAATTGGTTAGTTATTTTCATATCTGTTAAAATGTTTTACTTAATCATTTGTGTTAGAGGTGCATGGTGTATTTTAGCAAATTATACATTTCTGATCTGTTTCAGAGGGCCAGACACCTGCTGTAGTGACCATAGACCCCCCGGATTCAGTGGTTTTCTCAGGAGAGAGAGTCACCCTCAGCTGTGTGGTGAAGGCGGCATCAGGTGGCTGGAGATATTCCTGGGCTAGAAACACCAAGGGGAGACTAGAGAGCCTCTTTAGATCCAGTGCTGAAGATCAGAAAAATTACACCCTCAGTCCTGCAACAGTGTCTGATAGTGGACAGTACTGGTGTCAAGCTGAACGGGGAAACAAACCAATAATTCAAACACATCCTGGTTTTCTTATTTTGAGTGTTTCAGGTTAGTAACTTACATGAGTACTTAATGTGCCATCTGATGAAATAACTATGTTAAGTTTAACATCTGTCAGTGCTTTAGTATTTGAGCTGTCATTAAATGTATATATGAAAAAAAACAAAAGCAAAGAAAAACATGATCAATACCTTCAATTTTATATCTGTTGTATATGTAAATTACAATGGATAATTCAAGTACAAAATATTACATAACAGTTACCATGTCCACATACACCTGGAGGTCTTACATCATGCTGATGCATTTACAATTCACTCCACCTTCAAATGTAATCAAAACAATGCAGTTCTACCTTAAAGAACATATAAAATTGTAATAAAGAAAACATCTTTCTGCCCTTAGTAGTGGAAGGAAGTAGTGGAAAATGAACATAAGACAGTGTTCAGGGGGATCAGATATTGGGCATCAACCACTTGAATGGGAAGCTTGCTCTTGGCATCCACAACTGTTTCAGTAAAATTTGTTTCCTATTCCTCATCTTAAATAAATTCCATTTCAGCTTCCAGTGTGACACTACTGTATATCCATGTTTTGCTACTGAGACTATAGGAGTTCACGAGGATGCCTTATCTGTACCCTCCACGGATTTAATAATTAAATTACATTTCTTCTCAATTTTCTTTATTCCTCCCTTTATCCTGCCTTTTTTTTACAAACCGCAAAGACCAGGAATAATGCTTCCTATTCTTCTATGAAGAATTTCTTAGGCTTTAATATGCTGTTTGTGATGTGACAAATCTTCACACAGAATTCACATGCAACATAAAATCTTAATTTTGTCTTAAATACACAAAAAGACTAAATGAAAAGTTAAAAGAGATCTATCTCCTGTGGAATTTCAAATTGGATTAAACATGATTGCTTTTTTTTATCACCTGTTCAGTAGTTCATTCAAACTCATTAACACAGAGCATAGGCATGGCTTGAATTGTCTTGAATTGCAAAATTCTTAAGTTCAGAAAACTATAGATAAATTTGAATGAAGGTTATCAAAGCAAACACATAACAGGGAAATGATGGTTCAAGGGATACTTTAGTAGTATTTTTAAAACTGAGTAGAGAGAGAACATTTTGGACAGCTATTCTGGAGAACACTCTTTGAGCCAGGGGGAAGAAGGGTATCAAATGAAAACCGTAATTCACGTTTTCATTCACAGAATCATAGATGAGAAGACAGTGACCATGCTGAAATTGATATTTATGAATAAAATGTATAATTAGAACTTCAGGAGTAGGTTGACATACAGTACAGTAGGACAGTAGGACTGTGCTGATAGCAAGCAACACCAGACATTTTGACACACAGACTGCAAGGGACTGAGGAAGGGGAGAAATTTAGGCATGAACACTTGCAGGATGGAAAGAAGGAAAGGGAACTGGTTATCACCACTGCCTGGGCTACACTGTAGTGTAGGCACCTGGGGAAGAGATGGCTGAAAATGGAAAGCGCAGATCTGAGGCAGATGGACACTGTGCTTGGCTCACGGAGGAGGTTAAGTGAATGTCAGTTGCCAGGAAGGACAATGAAAAGAGATAATAAGAAATGTGAAAGAGATGAAAGTTAACCTTTAGCTGTACATCTGAGGTAACACAGACCAGTGCAGCTGTGGTAGTAGCAAAGGACCAAGCAAGGGAGCAAGTGGAGAAGAGAAAGAGGAAGTGACAGAGAACAGCCCCTGAAATTCATGAAGATTTGAGATTCATTAAATTGGAGATAAGAGAAGGACCAGACTATTTTTTCAGCGAAAGAAAAAGAACAAATGTTGTGACCAAACATATTTAGTAGGCTTTACATTGAATAGTTGGTTCTTCAAACTCACATAAACTGACTCCATACTCCTTCACTATCTTTTGCAGATGAGTCTACTGTACATTCAGTCTAATCTATGATATCAGGTTTATTATTATTGTAATCTTCTATCTCATTAGCAGTGAAATGAGAAATGAGCAGTGAGCACTTTGAGAGAAAGAGACAGCAAGCTTAGAGGACAGCAAGAGAAATAAATAAAGAATCGATGATAGATACAACAAATAAATAGAGGACTGGGTGCAAGATGATCATAGGGGCACAGTAACTTTATATTAGAGCAGCATGAATAACTGGAGTCAGCAGGAAAGTGTTAATGACAACTTGGGCAAATGGATTGTTTTCAGAGTGGACTGGAGAGGTTTGCTTAGAAAAAAAAGCACTTGGAGAAAAGGCATAACTGAAGTTGGATTCTGGCGGTGGAACAATTGTCAGAGGATTCCTTCAGCAATGGAAATTGGTGAAATACGATCAGATTTTGACTTTCATCTTTTGTTTAAAACTCAATTTCTCTTCAACATGTCAAAACACTAAACCTTAGTTTTATCAAGTAGTTGCAGGTTTATAAATTCCCAAAATATTGTAGGAAAAATACTACTTATTTCACCACTTAACACATTTTTCATTTAAGGAACATGGCCAAGACCCATCCTGACCCAGAACCCTTCCAGTGGAGAGATATACACAGGAGACAGAGTCACCCTGAGCTGTGGAGTTGGGGGAGATTCTGTTGATTGGAAGTATCTCTGGTATAAAGACATACAGGAAGCAGCCCTGCTCAACACTGACAGTAGCAGGACTGATGGGTCTAGTTACACCATCAGCTCTGCTGCTCTGTCCCACAGTGGAGAGTATTGGTGTCGAGCTAGAAGGGGAAGTGTGGTCTATTATACTGATCACAGTGATTCTCTGCAAATAGAAATAATAGGTAAGAAACTGAATTAAATATAATTTGTTCAATTCTAAATTATACCTCTTATTTTCATGGTCTTTTCTACCCTTTCTTCAATCTTGTTTTATGTACAGCTCGACCACAGGCAGCACTAACCCTGGAGTCTGGATGGACAGAGATATTCACTACAGAAAGTGTGACTCTGAGGTGTGAGATTGAGATGGGCTCTGCTGGGTGGAGCTATAAATGGTACAGAAATGGACAGGAACTGCCAGTAGACTCCAGTAGGAGAAATGGAGACACATACACAATCCTCTCTGCTGCTCAGTTACATAATGGAGAATATACCTGCAGAGGGGAAAGTGACCATAATAAACTATTTTATTCTAACATCAGCAATCCTGTTAAACTGAAGGTATCTGGTAAGTATTTGTATTATTTTGAAAATCAAACCTATATATTGATACTGAGGAGATTATTCAAATAATTGATTGTTACTTTAGAAAAAAATGTGATTTAATGTTATAAATAAAGGCCAATTTTTAACTATTAGAGACCCAGGCACATGTTTTAGTTATCAATTGGATCACTCCTACTTAGAATGTAATAATATTCCTGCATTCATGAAATAATTATGTAGTAGATGTACAATTTAGAATCTCAGAGGCTTATGCCACAAACTGTGAAATTGATTTTGCACATAGGTTTTTGGTGGCACTGACAAGCCCTGAACATCTACAACACTCTTTCATCAGGAAAATGGCCAAAGCCTGCTCTGACTGTGTTCCCCACAAGAGGACAGATATACACAGGAGACAGAGTCACCCTGAGCTGTGGAGTTGGGGGTGGATCTGTTGGTTGGAAGTATCTCTGGTATAAAGACACACAGGGAGAAGTCCTGCTCAACACTGACAGCAGTAAGACTGATGGGTCCAGTTACACCATTAGCTCTGCTGCTCTGTCCCACAGTGGAGAGTACTGGTGTCGAGCTAGAAGGGGAAGTGTGTTCTATTACACTGATCGCAGTGATTCTCTGAAATTAGAAATCATAGGTAAGAGATTGAAATAGTAAAATGATTGATCATTTTAGTATCTTTTTTAGTAAACATAATTTTACACACACAACTGCTTTATTTATTTTTCCCCCATATTAATTCTAAGATTCATACTATTAGCATACCTCATATTATTAATTCTACCCCCTATTCAAACTTGTCTATTCTGCAGCTCAACCACAGGCTGTACTGACCTTGGAGTCTGGATGGGCAGAGATATTCACCACAGAAAGTGTGACTCTGAGGTGTGAGATTGAGATGGACTCTGCTTGGTGGAACTATAAATGGTACAAGGATGGACAGGAGCTTCCAGCAGTGAAAGCTAACTCCAGTAGCAGAAATTTAAACACATACACAATCATCTCTGCTGCTCAGTTTCATAATGGAGAATATACCTGCAGAGGAGAAAATGCCCATAATAAACTATTTGATTCTAATGTCAGCAATCCTGTTATACTGAAGGTATCTGGTAAGTATTTCATTTGTCCTGAACATTAAACAGTACAGTATATACTGAAGATATGATCTATATAATGGATCTTGCATCTAATTACAGTGTTCAATAAAACTACAATTTAACTGTTGTTATGGATTATTTTAACCTAGTGAGACACAAATATAGGGTTCTTTTTAAAAATTGATTAATCACACTTTGAAACTTTGAATATACAGTAATAATATTCCCGTATAAGTGCAATAAAGTACCTTAGAGGATTATGCTAGAAGATGTGAATTTGTTTTTGCATATAGGTATTGATTGTACAAAGTCTGATCTTATTTATTTCTCTTCTGTAAGGAATATGGCCAAAGCCTGTTCTGACTGTGTTCCCCACAAGAGGACAGATATACACAGGAGACAGAGTCACCCTGAACTGTGGAGTTGGGGGAGATTTTGTTGGTTGGAAGTATCTCTGGTATAAAGACACACAGGGAGCAACTCTGGCCAACAGTGACACTGACAGTAGCAGGACTAATGGGTCTAGTTACGCCATCATCTATGCTGCTCTGTCCCACAGTGGAGAGTACTGGTGTCGAGCTAGAAGGGGAAGAGTGGTCTATTATTCTGACTACAGCAATTCTTTGGTATTGCACATGTCAGGTAAGGTTCTAAAATGAAAGTAACCTTAAGCAGTGTTATTTTATTAATCGGTGGTTAAAGATAATCACACCTTTAAAGAGGAACTGTAGTGCTATTTTTATATTTCAGGGTTAGAAAGAATCAGCATTGATGCATGCATTTAACACCACAATAAAAGTAAAATGTTTACAGTGTAATGTTGCCATAGCCAAAATGTAATGTAGTGGCTCTCTGAAGGCACCAGTTCTGTAGGGTTTGGGCATTTACTGAGACAATTATTAATTGTAGCAGTAAATCACAAAGTTGATTCTTTTGATGGC